AATCCCTGCCCTTGAGCTGTGCTGAGGATGGCATGGCTTTTTTCTTTTACTTTTTTCTCCACTAAGACTTTATTATGAGGTCCTTCCCCAAAGAGGAGTGTTGTAGAACATTTTTCAGTTGGAAGATTGGATTTTGTCAAAGAGTCCACCTTCCATCGTTTAATCCAGAGATTAGGCCTTATTACTACATTAGCTGCTTGAGCCCTTGCAGCATCCCACACACTGTCCTGTGAATCATCCGCAACAAATTGGCCCACCCACGGGATCTTCAGCAGGGCTCTTTCCAATGTTAGTGGGTCTGGATCCCCTTGCTGAATAAGGTTGTCCTCCCACATTACTTGTGAAGTTCGAAAGTACCGCTGACGATCTGACGGCAAGAGAGGTCGCCTCACGGGATTTCTTTACAGCAGAGATTCATTCTTTTCATCTACAGGGTCATTCGATAGAATAGCTCCTGAATGCAATGCAACCACCGGTGCCTCCACTAAGGGGACCTTTAAATCCAGGGGAAAGGGCACCCCATCAGTTTTTCAGGGGGCTTTTAAAAACCTCCCTCATCCAATTTTTTCTGAGACTGCTGTTGAGGAACTGTCTGGTTTTCCCCAGGAACAATGCAAGGTTGTGATCGTTTTCCTGAGCAGTCTCTGGAAAGGATCCGCCTGGAGCAGTCTGGGGGAGCGGTCTGTCTTGCCGGGCTCCTTCCCAGGCCACTCTCCTCCTTCCTGCTCAGACCCTTTGGTCACTCTTGTTCCTCACACGCCTCCCCCCCCCGAGAGCCACGGCTGCCTCTGAAGACAGCCCTTGGCTTTTTGGCAGGTGGTAATGCAGCCGGTGATTCCTCCCTGGGACTCAGTCACAAGTGAAGGTCTGTGTGTGGCTAACCTGCGCGCCCTTTCCTTCTTAGCAGGGGCCCTGCCTATGTCGCCAGAGGACAAAGAAGAGTCTGAAAGGGAGTGATCGGTATCCTTGTGCTCGTGTCTGCTGCCTTGACTCCCTCTCTGAAGAGGAAGGGGGGGCTGGCATCTCTCTCGCTCTGGCAGGCTCTGAGCCCTCCCCAGGTCTGAGGCTTGAGGTGGGGCAAAGGAGGTCTGCTGATCACATGGAAGCCAAGGGTTCCAGGTCTGCCGGGCCCAGTCAGGAGGAGGCCGTCCGTAAGGTGCGGGGGGGGGGGATTGCGGGGCCGCCATGTTTTGTGCACTGGCACAGGCTGCAGCCCCTGAAATGGCCGCTGGAAACGTAGGGTAGGGAGCGGGCCTCATGGCATCAGTCCCCTGCCTGCCTTCCAGGCTGTAGGTAAGGGCATATAAGGGGCTTTCCGAAGGGATGTGGCTCTCAAACTCACCCCTCTGTGTGCCTGAAGAACCTGCAGAAATATCAGAGTCCTTGCCGGCTGCGGCTGGATCCTCACCATGCCAGCGCTCTGTTCCTGACGAGATCGGGCGGCCCACAGGTTCCTGCTGCTCTCACCCCGGCATTAGAGGAGCTGCCGCTGCGCGGAGATCCGTGAGCTCGGATGTGCCCCCCTCTTTCTCTGCAGCAGACTGCTTTCCTTCCCCTTGGCCCGTTGCCCCTGCAGGGAGGCCTTATCCAGTGTCTTGCCCCTCTTCCCCCTTGAATCCTTTTGTGGGCTGAGTTCTCCATCCTGGGATTTCTCCCGACAGGGACTTGAACAAGGTATTATTTGAGTTCTGTCTCTTTATTTTCTTAAACTGAGTTGTGGCCTGGCTGCAGCTTCCTCCTGGAGCGGCAGGGCGCCCTCGCTGGGCCCAAGGAAGGCACACAAATGATCTGCATAGCCCTGCCTGGAGCGAGTGGAGGCGTGGCCTAACCAGTCTGGATGGGAGAACTGGGTATCATCAGCATATGGATGACCAAACCACAAACTCTTTCTGCTCAGGGCTCCACGTACAGACTAAACAGAGCAGGGGGTAAGGCGCAACTTTGTAGTTCCCCAGAGGACAATTTTGTTTAATTGTGTTACGTAGAGTTTCCCTTCGTCACTGAGGACCAAGGCGGATTATACCGTGCAAGTCAAACACTGTTAAGTCGCTCGCTTAACAAAGAAGTTGGAGAGTGATTCAGCAAGAACACAACTTTATTCTTCTACTCGAACACAACTCCAACACGGATCAACATCTGATAGCCAGAACAGAACAGTTCAGCCTTTACATTGCAGTAGTCCTGCTTTTAAACTCTCCCGGCTAATGTAGCCACACCCACTGTACAAATACCAACCAATACGGTTGTTCATATAAGGACCAATCAGGGACGTTCCCGCTCAGGGAGCTTGCTGTAAGGTGATTGGCTAGGTGCTTCCTGGGCTAGCAATGCGATTGGATGGATTTGGATCCTAGCCCAGGACGAAGCTCAACATGGCAAGTCAATTAGATGTTTCACATGCATCATGCATTCCATGGCAGCTATTGAACACCATCAACAGGATGGGGGGGTCAGGCAATAAACAAAGCAAGATTTGGATTGCAGAAATCTGAAAACAGGGCTGAAAACAAACCTTAAGCATCAACAGGATACATTAAACCGTGCCGAAATTACATAGCAGGATCATATACCAAGTATCTTTTTCAAACATTTCATGTCAGCGCAGCCCCTAGCTACCTGTGTAAAAAAGCCCCCCTGAATAACTCTGTTTTGTGTCAGGCGGGGCGCCGTGTCGGCCTGAAGCAGCAGGACAACGTTTGAGTCCAGACTGGGCACCTTGAAGACCAACTAAGTTGTATTCAGGGAACAGGGTTTTGTGTGCGCGCATCTGAAGAAGTGAATAAAACTTTGTTGGTCTTCAAGGTGCCCCTGGAGTCAAACGTTGTTCTGTTTGGTGTTGTTGCGGAAACCCAGGCGTGTGAGAGCCTTCCTCACCTGTCCAGCAGCCCATCTTATAAGGTGGGGCCACAGCAGGGAAAGTATGTGTCCGAGTGACCACTTGTGGTCCCCGGCCCCCACTGATTAACTGACCACCCTCGACAATTAACCAGTAATCTGCCTAATACATGAGTAATAAGATAAACAGTGATTATGAGTATGATGTTATGTTTTTGATGTTGCATTAACTATTATGTATTATTATCTTTCTATTCCAGCTTTCACTCTCTCTCCATCTGACAGAGGTTTTCTTTTGTTTCAGCAATTTACTTCCAACTCTTCCATATACATCTGTCTTACAACACCAAAAATTAAAACTAATATAGCATGAAACTTAATCCAGACCCATAAAACAACATCAGGGAATGGCACAATCCCACAGACAGGCCAAAAACTATCCCATAAAATCAATCTGGAATAAATTCATCTTGTAGAATAAAAAGATTTCACTAGCCTTCCCCAAAACACCCATGAACACAGCCAGTGTGGTGTAATGTTTAAGATTGTCCGACTAGTATCCGGCAGACCCAGGTCCGAATCCCCACCTGTGCCATGGAAGCTTCTGGGTGACCCTGGGCCAGTCACACTCTCTCAGCCTCACCTACCTCACAGGGTTGTTGTGCAGATTAAAAGGAGGAGAGGTGAAGGATGTAAGATGCTTTGGGTCCCCATTGGGAAGAAAAGGGGGAGCAAATTAATAAAATAAAACAAATGAGGGAGCTAGCCTCCTGCACCTGCTCTGGGAGGCTCTTCTGGAGAGGAGGGGGGGAAGAAGGGAAGAAGAAGAGGAGATTGGATTTCTACCCCATGGCCCTTCACTACCCAGAGGAGTCTCAGAGCGGCTCACAAACTCCTTTCCCTTCCCCTCCCCACAACAGACAAACACCCTGTGAGGTAGGTGGGGCAGAGGGAGCTCTTGACAGGAACGGCTCTTTTTCAAGGACTGCTCTTATCAGAGCTACAGCTTGCCCAAGGTCATCCAGACAGGTGCAAGAGGAGGAGGAGTGGGGAATCAGACCCGGTTCTCCCAGATTAGAGTTCGTGCACTTCACCACGACACCAAACTTAGGGAGGTGACTGCACAGAAGATGCCTTCCTAGGACTAGCAGTGTCTGCTGGGCCAGCTGAGGGTGGTGTGAGGGTTCAAGGTAGGTGACTGATGGGGGCAGGGAAGCACCCACTGCATCTGCTGTGTCTGAGGCAACACAGCAAGTCTGTGTGGGAGAACAGACAGCCCCCTCTTCAGCTCTGGGTCAAAGAGCCTTCTGCGCCCAGGTGTGAAAGGGTGCACAGCAGAGAGGAAGCAGGGGGGAGAGGGGGGGTACCAGCCCCACACCCCACAATTGCTTGTGAGTTGCCAGGTCAGCACAGAAGCAGCAAGGTGCCACATCACCCATCCCCCTCTTTTCCACACAGTGAAAGGGACAGCGTGGGTCAGCTGAGACCCCCCCCCCCAAACAAACAAAAAACACCCCAAACCACAGTCCCAGTCTGACAAAATGCCCCAGACTCATTGAAGGACGAAAGGGGGGGAGAGACAGAGCCCTCCCCACTCCCCGAGATTGGCTGCAGGCCCGGGAGTCCCGCCAGCCCCACCCTGGGGCGGGGGTCCCACCCAGGACTCCTACCAGACACACTCCGAAAGTAGGGCTGTCGACGGCCAGGTAGTGGGGGGAGACGGCCTGGGACCACGACTGGTCTCCAGGGGACAGAGATCAGTTCCCCTGGAGGAAATGGCTGCCTGGGAAGGTGGCGCCTCTGAAGCAGTGGGGCGGCACAGGCTGCTCCTTCGCTGGACGACCCTCTTTCGGCTCTGCTCCTGCAGAGTGAGGGCCGGCCGGGGGCTGGACTAGATGACCTGCGAGGGGACCTCCGTTCCCCCTCTCCCATTCGATGGTTCTAAGCTCCTCCCCTCCCCTGCCCCCCCCCCGGTCTCCCAGGGTTTCCCACCCCGGAGCGGGGAGGCCCGTCGGAAAGCGCCC